GATTTGTACTAGATCAAGGTACATCTAATTGAGCAAATCCTTCCCTTTTATTGACATCTGCTTTTTTGAGACATGTCCACATAGCACATGACATTCTTGGCAGACTGTGAGAGCTGGCCTCTTTCCCAACAATAGTCTTAGTTGTGATTGCTTGTTGAACTTTTGTATCTTTGTTTTTCTATTGAGTTCTCTCTTTTTTTTTCTTTATTATTATTATTATTTTTTTTTTTTGATAATTGTGGCTAGAAAATGTAGTGTAACTAAGACAGTGGCAATTATCGCTGTGAGATCAAAATAAAAGCAAGTAGTTTGTATGATGCTGCCCTTTGCAGTTGGTAAGATGGACCCTCTTCTTCATAAACATCAGTGATTTCGTCTGTGAACTGATCTAAATATAGTTTTAAATGATCTGTTATATAAAATTCAAGATACACACACACATACCCCAGTAGATATGGATATGCTTCTGTGACAGATAAGGACTATAGTAGCCACAATAACAAATGTTAATTTTAAGATCTACTTTCATACAAGATGTAGAAGAGAAAATCTCAGTCAGAAGATACCATAGAAGATAGTGACACATTGGTCAAAGAAAATACAAAGTGTAAAAAGCTCCTAACCCAAAATACCAGGAAATTCAGGACACAATGAAAAGATCAACCCTAAGAGTAATAAGAATAGAAGAGAGTGAAGATTCCCTGCTCAAAGGGCCAGAAAACATCTTCAACAAAATCATAGAAGAAAAATTTCCTAACCTAAAGAAAGAGATGGCTATAAAAGCACAAGAAGCCTACAGAACTCCAAGTAGATTGGACCAGAAAAGAAAATCCTCCTACCACATAATAGTCAAAACACTAAATGCAGAGATGAAGAAAGAATATTAAAAGCTGTAAGGGAAAAAAGCCAAGTAACATATAAAGGCAGATGTATCAGAATTACACCAGACTTTTCAACAGAGACTCTAAAAGTCAGAAGATCCTGGACAAATGCCATCCAGACCATAAGAGAATACTTTGTAAATTATGAGTTTGACCTTGAATTGTTTGATAACACTTATAATGTACTAGTCACACTTTCCTCTGTTTTATTTCAAGTCAGACCAGGTCAGTATGAGCACATGGGGATCATGTGACACTTGCTTCTTATAGCTCATCTTTGTATTATGAGAGATCTCCCTTTGCAGAGCAAATTTTAATTTTTTCTGTGTATATGTAAGTCCTATGATCTTACTTTTTTGGAATAATAGTTTAAAATGCATAAAATACATTGATTAACAAAAGAAACCCATTATGTTAAAGTGATCTAGATATTAGTTATATTCCTTATGAATTAAACTAAAATATTCTATCCTCTGATACAATCAAAAGGACTTGTTTTCTAAGCAGTATTTTGAGATAGCCATAATAGTTGAGATATAAAAATATGTATACTTTTTCAATATCATAGTTCTTATATGTTGCTAATACTGCTGTGGTTCATTTTCTACATTCTTAATTTTATATGAATGGTACGGAAAATTAAGAAAATCTATAGAACCTATAGAAATAGTTGAGAGGCCAATTTTTAGCACTTTCATATCGCCACCCAAGTGTTTTTAAAATGTTAAGGTGGTGGTTCTTTCATCCAAGGTTCCCAAAGGAGAGAGAATGTTCCAGAAATAAGAGCAGCTTGAAAATAATTTTACTCATTTACCCTAAAAATTAAAGTATTTCTTTGGGCAGTATTCGTACAGATTATTTTCTTAAAGGAGTTTGAACAGTGATAACCCAAGATCCAGTTCTTAAAAGTATGTGCATGTATCTAAACACTGTTTTAAGACAATTTATGATGACCCAGTGAGGCAGGTTTGGCAGGTTTGGCAGATGCCTATTCCTATGTGTGGAATTGTAGACTGAAACTTGGTTGCTTCTCTGAAGAGAGCCAGCAACAATTCTATACTGTTAACGTTGCTTATTGCTGATTCAATAAACCTAATCATTTTTACGTGTTACTACCTTAGATAGAGCATTTGAACTGTAGCAAACAGTTTTTATGCTTAAGGTCAAATTCTTTTTTTATATTTTATATTTTCTAAAATTCAGTTGAAATATCACTTTATGAAGGTATAATGTGAGGACTTGTTAACCCTACTTTCATAACCTTGAACGGCACAGTTGAGACCAATTGAGTAATTTTTGTCCTAGGTAATTTGCACCCACAGAGAATACTTTGGACTTTGCTAAAAGAGGCAGTTGTTTGATGACTCAGTTTTCAAAACTGCGGTGTTAGATAATCACTCAGTATGCACTTGGAAGTGCATTGTTTGTGGGTGTTAGTGATGCAGAAAAAAAAAAACAACCAAGCCATAAGGTAATACTATTATTCTGTACAGAAAGTAGAATATATAGTACTATAAAATTTGAATAAGTTGTATAAAGTAGGAATTTAATAAGTATTGGCTAATGAAAACATATCTACTAACATTTGAGTAAACTGACTGCCAACTGCCTACTTTCTAGGAAGATGTCAGCATGAAGGTATGTTTGTTGTAGTATGAGAAAATATGTAAATAGATTCTATGCAGCAGGTGAGGCTGGGGTGATGTGTGTATACTGACCCTCATACTGGCTAAGAGTAGGCCCTTGGTGTGAGATTTTACAGTGATTCCCTGAGTTCAGGTAGATGAAGTTTTAATGCTCTGAGCCCTTTGATTTTTGTTTTTGAATTACTATTAAAATCTGCTAGGTCTCCTTTTTGTCTATGCAATGCTGCCATTTGAGGGCTGGATATATAAGTGCTGCATCATTCAAAGGGTAACAAGCCACCGTTTACCATATCTGTGGAAGAAGGAAGATTGCTGTATCTCAGAATACTTCCAGTCCAATCAGGAAGGGAGTGAGGAACTGTGGACAGATAGAATTAATTAGGAAAATACTCATAGGATGTTTTAAAGTACATACATTTTTTTTTCAAAAGAACAGTGTTTTGTTGGGGAAAATTGTTAAACAAGCAGCCAGGTTTGGTGACACACATATGCAATCCTGACCTTAAAAAGCGGAGGAAGGCGTGTCTGAGGCCAGCTAGGCTGTACGCCTGTCCCTGACTCAAAACTTGAAAGAGATCATTGGGGTCAGGTTCCAGGGACCTTGGTTTACTGGAAGGATTAGAATCTTGGTCTTTAGGCATGTGTTCTTCTAATATTCCCGTGAGAGTGTAGCTGAAGGGCATTGGTACAATACACAGAAGAAATGCAACTGATAGTCTAGGAACAGAATTTCTTAGGAGATTTTTAGGAAACATAACTTTTTCTATGAAGACTGATTTATAGAATATGAGATATGACCAGTATGTAATAAGAGCCCATGTTTTAGTGGCAGGTCATTATCCTTTAACTCTAAAATCTTTAAAAAGGATATATTTGAATTGTTCTCAGCTGCTGTTTTTCTATAGTAGACAACCATAGACAAAACAGGTACTATGTCATTATTATAAATTTGCATGATTGAGTGGGAAATAAAATTATTGGGCTAGGAGTAGATCAGGCTAATGGCAATCCTTGAAGAACATTTCAAAAGATACAAGAAAGTGTGTTTACAAATTCAAGTAAAAAAGAAAAATAACAAAAACCATTCCCTATGTGCCAGACTCCCTATGACTTAGAGCCTGGTAGTGATGCTGATGGTTCTCAAAGTTAGAAGGGTATGAAGTCTGGAGGGGGAGGGGAAGGAGTTGAAAAGGGCTGGGCTGCCACTTGATGTATCTATAGGATAGCAGAGGGGGCAGCTAGTGAGCAGTGTGAGAAGGACGTATGAATAGAGATGATGGGTAGAATATATAGAGCTGGGAAATGTATCCATGGAAGACCAGAGTCCATGAAGGGAGACAGAAGGTTTCAGGACATTTATAAGGATTTTTAAGAGTACTTAAAACCACAAAATGTTAGATCCTGATTAGGCTTCCATTTAAAGCTGCAAAGGTACTCATTCTTACTGTGTTCTAAAGATGTCACTTAAAATGTCAGAGTATTCAGTGTTAAAATGTATAAAATATTCAAGGTGTAGATAAGCTAAGTATAATGAATTTATTCTTAGCATATCTTGACCCTGAAGAGTCAGCACAGTACAGTAGCCTGGATCTACTGTGTTGGTAGACTCAGAGCCTAGTACAAATGCATTGTTGCCCTTAGCTTTCTTATGTGATGTCCTTAAAAAATGTTTACTCCAGATTATGTTGTAGCAAAATTAAGCATAATTTTGAAAGTTCCTATTACAGAAACATATTCTAAATAGTCTGGACTTAATTTTGAAACTAGTAATATAGCATGTGGAAATTGTAAAATACCACTTTTTGAAGTTTACCTTAAACTTTGTTTTATTTTTATTTATTTATTTATTTTTATTGGATGTTTTATTTACATTTCCTATGTTGTCCCCTTACCCCATCCCCCACCCACCCAGGAACCCCCAACCCCCTCACCCCTCCTCCTTCTTCTCTGTGGATGTAACCTCTATCTACCGCCCCCCGCCACTCCCACCTCCCCACCCTCAAAATTCCCACCCCCTGGGGCATCCAGCCTTCATGCAGTCAAGGTTCTCTTCTTCCACCTATGCCCAGTTTTAAATTTAAGAACGATTTAGAATTTACCCATTAGTTATGATTTAGATTGGAACTATTGTTTTTGTAATTTTGGTTTTCTGTTTTGTTTGTTTTTCTGGTTTCATTTTGTGTTGTTTTGTTTTGTTGTGGCAAGGTTACTCCGTGTATCCCTGGCTGTACTGGAACATAGTCTGTAAACCACACTGGCCTCAGAGTCAGTGATCTGCCTGCCTCTCCCTCCGGAAACCTGGGGAGGCGTGCACCACCACTCCCAGATGATTTGGACCATCTTAAATTGATTCCCATATCACAAACATGAATAAATGATACTGTAGGAGTTTGGTTGAAAAGATAAATTATGTTACATTGATTCGACAGTATCTGATCTTAACAAGACTTTAAAGCTAATTGAAATGCGATTCTCAAGCTTTCCAGTAAAGATTTAATACCAGATTACTGTACGACAGTGATTGGGAGAATTTTAATATTTAATTTATTGGTCTTTCAATTTGTCTCAGTTCAGTTGGAGCTTTTTTAGGTGGTAGGCTGGAGCATCATTTTGGATGATTTGATAGAGTAGAGCTTTCCACTCGGAGGCCTCCAGTAGATCCCTCTTCTTCTCTCTGGTTTGGATTTGGTTCTGGGCTTGTTATATTTTCCATTTAGATTGTTTTCTCCACATATGTCATTCCACCACCAGCCACCTAAAGAAGACAGACATGTGGTTTAACTGGGTAAATGTCTAGTAGCTGTTAGATTTTTCCACAGTTATATTTTTATTTTATATAACTGTTATATTGTAGATGCATGTATCCCAGTATTCATTATACTGTGTGACTCCTGCACACCATCAACATAATGAGGAACATTCCAGGTAAAATAGCTGAACCAGAATTGACACTTGAAACTACAATCAACAGATTTTTTTGTCTTTGGAGAGAATGCTTTCTTTAGATTAGTATTTTAAAGAACATATTATAGATAATAGCTAAAACCATAGGGGATACTTTGAAGAAAAAAGTGTTGTCATTAATGAGATACCTGAGTAACTTTCTGGACAGTAGAGCTGTCCCTTTGCTCTGTGATCCCATGTAGAAAACATCAGATCTCTGTGCTCTGGGAGGGCCTCGGGGATATTGCCAGCAATCTCAGTCACATGTAGTGAGTAGTTGGTTTCGTGATTGCCCAGGTGAAAGGAGTATTCAGCATAGTGCATGCTGTCCTTCCAGTCTTGTAGCTCGAGTCGTAAGATGTAGTTAGACTGTTGAACTATAGCATAGATCTTCTCTAGGCCCAACCAAAATTCTCCTAAAGGAAAAGTTAGGGGAAAAAAAACCCTGTGTGATGTTAACTACAGATCAGGTCCTGACTTGTCTGTGTGTCGGGGTGTGTGTCAGGATGTCACTATTTATCCCAGGCTGGTCTCAAAGATGATATCTTCCCACCAAAGTGCTGTGATTACAAAGTATGTACAATCATTTTTCCATGGCCAGTTCTTGTCATTATTTTCAATTTGTTGATGTAAATGAGTTTAGTTCTGATTCCTGGGTTACTGTGAAATCTTGTAAAACATTTATATTATTGGTGTTACAGTGTGTGCTTGCAATGCTAATATTTGGGAGGTCAAGACAGAAAGGATTGTTGTTTAAAGTCTTCTACTACACAGACTGTTTGAGTCCATCCTGGACATGGGACCCTATCTGAAAAACCCGAAACAAATCCTTTTTAAACCTCATATTAATAGAGTTTTGTGAAACTCATGTCTGTGTCTGGGTATATGCACTGTCCCTCCCTTCCTGTCTCCTTCTGTTTTTTATCAATTGATTGTTCTGTCTGTCTGTGTATCTTGTTTTCTTTGAGTTCTGGAGACTGAATCTAACCTCATGCATGTGCTAAGAAAGACTCTCCCACTGATCTATATCCTCAGCATTAAGTGTGACTTTTTCTCCCTTAACATTAGTTAAGTCTATATTAAATCTTGTCTTGATTAACCCAACTTTATTTCAAAAATATATTTTACAAAATGTTTGATATATGACACATTACATTACTACAGATATTTTTAGGTTTGGTCATTGAGAGAGTAATATCTCACTTGTACCTCCTTAAGTAAATTAGATACCACCTTATCATCAGCTGTTCATTAATATACCCACATTCAGTCAAGAGAAGGCTTTTATATGTCCAGTTTTAGATAACAGTGATAGCATTTTCCTCAAATACGAAGTTTCTTCATAGAAAAAGAATCTAATAAATTTAAAAATGAGATTTGAATGATTTGTTGTTAATAGTATTTTTCTCTATAATTAAAGCTATTTGGGATTAAAAACTGTAGTAATAGAAGTAGATCATTATATAACCTATATTGAAATGTTTAATGATGAGAATAAATATTGTTGCTATTGAGCTAGGAAACTTCAGTTTGGGATTATAAATGGAATGATTAGTTTCTAATTAGAAATAAACCAGCATTCTGAACTGTCAGTCCTTTATTTTAGTGTTAAACTCAATCCCAGAAGAATTAGAACTGCAAAATACCACTGAATGGGCCCTCTCTTTAGAGATTGAAGTAGTACCGTGAATAGAGAATTTAAAAATAATCAAGTAGTACTGAGTCTTAACATTTTTTTTTTTTGGTAAAATAGCAGATGACTTCTACTTTGTAAGTTAATACTACACATTCACAAGTATCTATTGTGTGCTTTTTTGCTTTTAAGTATCTGCTTATTTTTTATTTTTTTGCTTATTTTTAGATTGATTTTACAATCAAAATAAAATATATTCTAGAGCATTCAGAGAACCACAGTTCTGTAGTATATATTTATAATATTGAATAATTAAAATTAGTACTTAAGTAGTTAGATACCATATCTCTGACAGTGACTCTATTCCTTCTAACTCTTTTATTTTGTAGTTTTATTACTTTGTTTGTGCCACTGGGCATCAGTCCCAATGTTATGCCAGTCAAGTGCTCTGCCACAGCACATCCCTCCAGCTCCATTTAACCTGTGTTACTTTGTATCTAAGATATCAGTGGAAGAGTACTATAATGCCATCTCTGCGATTCATTTGTAGCATTACCCCTCACTAGAGCAGACGGTATGTACTGTTGTCCTTAATGACTATTATAATCATGAACTATAGAATTAAATCTCAACAAGCATACATAAGAGCAGATGTGTAATAGTGATAAGTACAATTAAGATAATTGCAATTGCTAACATGTATTGTGTTTACCAAATCAGTTTTATGAAGGCTGGGATTTGTTTTTGTTTATTGTTACATTTCCACAGCCTATTTTATAATTGTTTCTTAATTTATAATTCTTTTTTTTGAGAAGAGATCTCGATGTGTGGCCCAGACTGTCCTTGAGTTTTCAGTCTACCTGCTGCATCCCTCACCCCAAAGTGCTATGATCTCAGGCCGTGTCAGCACACCCAGCGAATACTGTTAAATCAACAGACTAATGAATGACGCAAGGAGATCACTTTACCATCAAGCTTCCCAAAGCCCTTTTTGTAGTTTTCCCATGTTTCGTTGAAGTTTTGTGAGCCATCTTTCCGGTGTTGAATTAATGTCCATGGACTACCTAGAAAGTGTGAATGAATGTAGTTATTTTTAGTAAAGTTGACAGGAAAAATAACTTGGTTTTAACTTTGGCTTTGTGAGTTGATTTATTAATTAGGTAGTATGTAGTTAAGGTAATATACTTTATCATTTATTATGATCCCAGATTTGTATGAATAATCATGTTCTGTGAGTTGATTACAGGGTTAGTTTTGGTAATAGGTAATGAGTATCTTGAGTTCACTCTAACTCATTTTCTGCTTAGGAGGGTTTACCTGATTGGGTTTCACAGTAGACATTAAACACTTGAGAGTTGCTTGGTCTAATGGTATATACACCACTTGTATGTTCACCTCTGTTATAAATGGCAGAGCAGTCAGCAGGAAGGTCTAGAATTAACAGACATTATTATATAATAATATTTAAGAGTAAAGTGTCTTTCGAGCTTGCAGTTTACTACTACTTCACGGAATTGCTGTGAATGTTCAGTAATATTTATGCTAAAGTATGTTTACTGGGTGAGAAACTGTCCAAATAACATTAAAGTAACATTTCCAACTTACTTATTTTAAAAGAAAATGGAGAAAACAAGAATTTTAAGAAGGATTATCTTGTTAAGCATAGTGAGAGTCCTCAGGAGCAGAAGCTTAGCACAGGGTTTGGTTTGTAACCCGAACCACAGATGTGTGGGAACGGGCTGTACAGGACGAGCGCTAACAGGTAGTTCTCCTGTGTGAGTTACAGAAACCGAAAGAACTCTTGGTAATGTATCATTTTCCAGCAATTTGGCTGGAAATAGTGATTTTGTTCCCTGGAACTTTTATTTAACCTGTGAAAGAGTTTATGCAGATAGGAAAGTAGAATATTTGAGTAGAACTCCATGATCTTTCGGGTTTTAGAAGTGCATGTTTTCTTTGTACACATGAATATATCTTGTTTGTTGCTTTAGAAAGTAATCTTTTTAATAAATTTTGTTTTTTTTATTTATTTTTTATTTTTTTTGCAGTCTCACTTTAGCTCAGGCTAACCTGGAACTAACTGTGTAGTTAGGCTGGTCTTGAACTCACATTGGTTCTCCTACCTTACCCGCTGAAATACTGGGATTATATCTGTGAGCCACCAAGCCTTGACTAGAAAGTCATTTTTAAATATGACCTTTGTGGCTCTCCATAAGTCTTATAAGCATGAGCTTATTCCTTTTCTATACCTGTAGTATCATTTTATATCTATAAGATCAATAATTCCATGTTTTTCTATCAGCTTTATATCTTAAGAATGTCATTTATAGTGTTAAAATGTAAGAAAGAAAGGAAGAAAGGCAGGCAGAAAGAAAGAAAGGAAGGAAGGAAAGAAGGAAGGAAAGGAAGGAAGGAAGGAAGGAAGGAAGGAAGGAAGGAAGGAAGGAAGGAAGGAAGGCAGACAACAAATCAGGATCCAGTTAAATTGACATCTGGTGATAGCATTTGGTATATATAACTTTTTACTCTTATCTAGATCAGATCAGGTCTTTGTTTGTTTTGGTTTTTCCTTTTTAAAAATTAGTTATTTTATTTACATTTCAGATGTAATCTCCTTTCCCGATTTCCCTACACCCAGACACCCCTTGTCTCATACCCCTCCTCCTACATCCTGAGGATGTGCCCCCACCTACCCACTCCCACCTCCCCACCCTTGAATTCCTCCACACTGGGGCATCCAGCTTTCACCAAAGGACCTCCACTCCCATCTATGCCCAACAAGGCCATCCTCCCCTACATAGACAGCTGGAGCCATAGGTCCCTCCCTGTGTGCTCCCAGGCTGATGGTTTAGACCCTGGGAGCTCTGGTTGGTTGGTATTGTTGTTCTCCTCATGGGGCCGCAAACCTTTTCAGCTCCTTCAGTCTTCTCTCTCACTCCTCCTTTGGGAACCCCATGATCAGTTCAATGGTTAGCTGTGAGCATCCACCTCTGTATATTTCTGTCTCCTTAGAGGTCTGTCAGAGATCAAGTCTTAAGAATAGGGAATTTTGTAGAGAAAATTGGCCAAATTATCTTACCATCTTGTTTTGTATTTTTTGTTTTGTTCAGATGAAGAGGGGGAGTAGTTCTTGGTGCTCTTGATTTAGAAGAAAGAGAATTTTCTGTGGGTTCTTGAATACCAGTCTTTCTGAGCTGATAAAGGAATATAAATCTACTTTTTAAAATGCTATTGTATATATAATTAGGGAATACTGGGTAAGTATATCAAAAGGACAATTTAGTGGAGAGTGTTTACTGAGCATGTGCAGAGCCCTGACCCCGTTTCTACAAGCAAGCAAAGAGGAATAAACAGCACTTCCCAGCATGGACAGACATTCTATTCTTGGAACATTTAATCAAGAGGATTATTTAATGAGCAACAAAATTAAGAGAATGAAGCAAACGAAACAAGAAAGACATTGATTAAAAGGAAAAGAACCAGTAAGGCTATATGCTTTGCTTAAAATGTTTGAATATATTCTCTTTTCAATGATATGAATTACAAACTTAGCTAACTTTATTAACTTGTGTTTGCTAAATATGCTATTGCAATAGTCAGTTCCAAAATATTGAGTTTGTACAATGTGTTTATACAGTATTCTGTATAAAGAGTTTTAGTAATTAAAGTAATAGAAAAGAATCACAGGTTCACAGATCTTCCAGTTTAATTCAGGGATAGGCAAGAAATAGCTTTCTATTTATGCTAAATATAAAGATATTACAGAGGGGAAAAACAATGTAGTGGCTTTGGGAGAGGATTTTTATTTTTTATTTTTTATTTATTGGCCTGGGAAAGCTTCACCGAGCATTTTGTATTTCATAAAAGTATACAGGAAGTGCAGATACTAGGGGGAAAAAACCCAGGATTCTAGACAGAGGCCACCCAGAAGGAGGCCTTGGGGAGCAGTGTGTTTGATGTCGTTGAGGAATAGCAGGGAAGTTAGTGAGATAATGAAGGGCTGGGTCATCACAGGTTCTAAGGCTGACTATGAGCAAGATAGAAAGCTGTGTAGAGGCTTTGAGCAGAGCAAATTCATAACCTGATTTAAAATTTAATAAGATCATGTTAATGGAATCGGTTATGGATCGCCTTCCCTCCCAATTCCACGAGACCGACTGTTGTTTCCTTGGTAGGATGCTTGAGAAAGCTGTATGGCGTAGGTTAGTTGCTTAGTTGTACAGAAAGTTTTGCAAACAGATGGTTAGCTGGGAGTGCTGTCTTAGCCCATGTTTACGTCAACTGGTGCAACAGTCTGACAACATTCGACTACTTACTTGATTTTCTATTTCTTTTATCTGAATGTGCTGTTGACTTAGTCGTTTATATTGTTCTTCCACACTCTGGAGGAGTTCTCTTATGCTCTTATCTTGCTGCTCTACAAAACTCTGCACACAGATTATAGTTTATTTAAATGTCTTCTGTCTTTTTTTTTAATTTTTATTTACTTGTAACAGTCATCCAATTTTTAAACTAGGAGTGGGTTAGAAAAGTGAACATTGGCTGCCATTGTCCTATGTTTTTTTCAAATAATATACACTTTGCTACTGTATTTAAAAATTGCCATATCTAAAACTTAATTTTATTTAAAGTAAAGAAACACTGTTTCAAAGGAATTAGAATATGCCATTTACTATATTAATCTACTTTTATTCATGGAAGAATAGTTTTAAATTTAATTTTTAAAAAAAAATCACCTCTAGTATTTATCAATAGCATAATAGTTGAATGTTACAAAGTTATTTAATTATATGAAATATAAATTTTAGCTCTTTTCCAATATAATATTAGGAAAGCAAAACCTGAACTGAAGTTTCAGTAGATAATTTTATTTCTTAAAAAAAGTATTTTTTGGAAAAAATAAGTATGTTAATAATCTAGCAGAGTATTTGAAATAGTATATCTTAAAAATGTATTTTAAAAACTCCACATTGAAAACAGTCAGAATGCTGTGATTTCTACTTACTTTAAGTGATGTTACTTCTGGGTGCTCCTGAGCCCCAGGTGGGTTTTGAATTAAGTTGGTTAGCTGCTCCTCCAAAGTCCTGACCTTGTGTTGAAGCGCTGTCTTCTCTTCCAGTAGACTTTCAAGCTTTGAGTTCAGTTCAAGTGACATATTCTTCACCTCTTCATTTTTAGCTTGTAGTTTAGATGTGGTTCTTCTTAGCTCCTTTTCTTCTTCTTTGATTTCATTGGTTTGAAGTGATAGGTCATAAAAAGACTGATCAAATATGTTGAGCTTCTGAAATATGTCATTAATTTGTCCCTTAGTCTTATGGACAAAATCTTTAAGACCGTGACCGAGCTGCAGGAGGCCATTGGCTAAAATTTTGACATCATCCAACATAGCAAATCTTGATTTTGGCTCTGAAGGTACAGAATCAAATGATGAAAGGTCTGGATCAACTCTGGACGCAATTACTAGAGGAACAATAAAAAGGAATAGTTTAATTGTGTGCATTTTTTGTCGCAATTATTCAATTTCAAGCAATTTGGAACTTCTCCCTCCTGTAAAGAGACCAGGACCTCTTGGCCTTATATACACAGATATTTGCTGCATGCACACAAGGTTGGCAGGTGAATGGAGTTAACCATTAAGCTGTGCTAACTTGCACGAATGTAACCCTCCCCCATATTGAGCTAGATCAATGGCAACTGAAATCAAGGAAATGAGCAACTAACAGGAGGTAATTTTTAAAACTGTTAAAAATAGTTAAATTTGCTCTATTGACAATTATACTTTCAGTATTAAGGTATCTACCCAGTTTTAAATTTTTAATTTTTTCTTACTATAAGAGATTTACAAATAAACCTTAATTTTTGGTAGATTAAGTTTGTCATTAAAATTGAGGAAAAGTTAAGTATCTGTACCCCTGGTTGTAGTTTGTTTATTCTGTAAACAGCCACCATTCCCCAAGTCTCCTGTGAAGCCTTTCCAAGTTCTTGAGGCAGCGCTGTGCTTCTCATTGCTGTAGCTTCTGTTTCTGTAGTCTCTATAAGCTAGCATATAACTGTATATTTATTTGTCACTAGAACTATTGCTTAATGTCCTTATTTCACATATGTCTTAACCATTCTTGCATGTTAATCACAAAATCCCGACATAGTGTTAATAAAGTTATTTTCCCCCTTTCCATGGTTTTCATGTCTATATGTCATAGACATACATATATGTATGTATGTATGTATGTATGTAGATAGATGCACACACACACATGAAATAGCAGTAGACATGTGATCATTTAAGTTTAAACTAGAATTAAATCCCAGTGCTTCCAGTAGCAGAGATTTGACCATCATTTTCTGAAGTTTGTAAGCTTAGTAACAATTTTCTTACTTTATACTTTAAAAAATTTAACAAAAGTAAAGGTTAATAGTATGTTTAAGAGTAAATGTTCCATTGTCCTCAATCAATGTTAGAAGTAAAAATTATAAGAACTTAAATTATAGGTGGTTATCCTTAGTTTTAATACAAGATATTTGGGGAATTAATATGATTACTAAGAGTGTGACTTCTGGAATCATACTGTTGTCTGGTTCTAAAAGATAGCTCTAGTGTTTTGGCTTTAAACAATTATTTAATTTCCCCATTTATCCTCATTTATTGGGATAACTGCACTATATAATTTGTGGCTTTGTTTTGTTTTGTTTTGTTTTGTTTTGTTTTGTTTTGTTAAGACAGTCCTGTTATGTAGCCCAAGCTGACCTCAGATCTGTGGTGATTTTCCTACTGTAGTACCAGGATTATGGGCATTTACCACCATGCATTAAGATCAAGTACATAGCTAAAAAAAATAATTTATGTGTATGCGTGTTTTGCCTTCATGTATGTCCATGTACCATGGTAGGTAAGATGATGACATTGGATCCCCTGGAGTTACAGAAGGTTGTGAGCTACCATGTAGGTGCTGAGAGTCAAACCCAGGTCCTTTAGAGAGCAGCCTGTGCTTTTATCTGCTGAACATCTTTCCAACCCCCATATGTATAGCTAGCTTTTTTTGCAAAGAAGAAAAATCAATATAAAACATTTAAATTAAGATGTCAGGCAAAATTTTACAAACTGCACCATTTCTAAAATTCTATTCATATAAATTCCCATTCCTGTCATAAAATGGAGGTTCTCTGTTGATTAAGTATTATAGGTTTGACTGTAATGTTTCTTTAGAGATGCCACTTAAGTATTGGTTGTGAGCATGATTCTGGAGCAGGACCGCTGGGTGTGGAACCTCAGCTGTTCTCCAGCTCCTCCACCCTTGGTCATATCATTTACTATGTCTGTTTCCTCTTTTGTCCAGTGGAGATAATACTTTTCTTAGGGTTGTGAAAAGATTAAAGTTAGTATTTTCAAATCACTGGAATCGTTCTTGTTGTCTAATGGGCACTACATATATCACCGTCCCTTATAGTTAGAAATAATATGGTTACACTCATAGAATTTATTGGAAAAGATTAATGTTAAGATGATTTAGACATGGAAATTTTCTGATATTTAGGTTTTAAGAGGTTTGTTCTCTTGAATTTTGGTTAGGAATTGTATCTTTTGATTAGCCTAAATATGTGTGTGTACTTTTCTCTTTTTGGGGTGTGTATGTGGGTGGTAGTGGGGCTTGAACCTAGAACTTTAGCATATAAGGCAAGCACTTTCCCACTGAACAATTCCGCAGCCCACTCTGGGTACATTTTCTTAAGTATGCATTACAGAATTATATAAATACTTTTGGCTGAAATAATAAACATGTACGCATACATCCACTTAAATACAAAAACGAATCCGTTTCATATTGAAGTGTATTTGAGCTAGAGAGAGCAGTCACATTTTCTCCGTTCATGGGAAGAGTCAGTGATCCTTGGTCATGCAGGGCACATTTCGAAACTTTTCTTAACTAAGCTGTCAACTTTTGTGGTTTAAAACTATTGACCTCAGAATTCCATCCACCTAATTGAGGTACATGATGAGCCAATCTCTCTACTCTGTTACACTATACATTTTTTGTAAATGATTATTAATTTGTATCTTAACTCCTTTGTACTTTGCCTTGTGCCTTATGGAGACATTAAATATTTATGGTTCAGTAAGAATTTTTCATATAACAAGTGTAAAACATACATGTAGCAGATACAAATCCCTTTAATATAGTAGCTTCCTTATTTTAAAAAGGGACTATGAAGAAGGGACCCTTTTTTTAAAAAAATTAATTTTGTTTTATGTGCATGAGTGTTTTACTTGCATGTGTGTCTGTACAGTTGGACATCAGATCCTATAGGACTGAGTTAGAGACTGTTGTGAGCTGCCATGTGGGTGGCAGGATCAAACCCAGGTTCTCAGGAAGAATAGCCAGTGCTCTTAACTGCTGAGCCATCTTTTCCAGCCTCCCCCCAAAAGAGGCCCGTTAAATAAAACCCATATCAAATATAGCAAGAATCTCAATGAAAATAAAGTACTGTTAAGCAAATTCAATACTTAATTTAAGAATCCCTGTTTCTAAGAGTCACTATACAAAGTTTCCTAGGTATACAGGATTCTAGGACACTCAGCAGCTTAACATGCTTAAGTTCCAGCAAACCATAGCGGCTGCTTGCTTTCCCAAGAGTATGCAATATTATGGTAATTGGGCTTCCAAATTAAAAATGAGGTATTTTGGTTCTTTAAAGAATGATTTGTTTTTATTTTATGTATGTGGGTGTTTTACTTCCTTGTATGTGCCCCACATGTGTGCAGTGGCCAGACAGTATTGGATCCCATGGATATTGGTTATCTTGTAGATAAGTGGAAGACTAATGTAGTATGTTTGTTAGAAATGCTTGAAAATATCTGAGAAAAATATGTATAAATAGTAATGTTATGAACTGAAGAAAAGAAAGATACTAGAATAATACATTAGCTCCACCCTTTTTCTGATCAGAACAACATCAGTTAAATAGATGTTTAAAGTAAGAGGTTGGGGTCAGAGCTCGTTTACCACAGTGCTTGCCCGTCGTGAGTGATGCTCTGGCCTCCATTCCCAGCACTGCATTATTTTAGTCAACTTACAGATATTTTTGTCCCCTTAAGCTACATGTTCCCTGTGACCAGACAGCGGCTTTTAAATATTACCTATGTTTTGATCATGTTATCATCATTAGAGGGTGTGAGGAGTGCCCCGTGGAGGTTATAGGATAGTTTGGTAGAGTTGTTTCTCATCGTATGCTTCTGTGGGTTCAGGATTGAATTCAGACTCTTAGGCTTGCAGAGCATGCTCCTTTCCCACGGAGACATCTCATTGGTCCTCTGTGTGTATGTGTGTGTGTGCAGTAGGTGTGGTGTGTGCATATGTGTGTGTGGTGTGTGTGCATATGTATATGTGTATGGTGTGAA